CCTCAGTTCACAGAGAGCCATCCCCATTTCCTTCCCCAAGTTGCAACCTAAAATAGCAAGGTCATGACTTCAGTTCACAGAGAGCTCCCTTCTCGGCCTTTCTTTTAGGTCGTGACAAGAAGACATCTAGGTCGCAACCTGGATTCACAGAGGGCTCTCTGACTCTCTAAATACTGATCAACCTCAAAATTAAGTTCCTATACCACCTTTACTCACTATCTAACATAACAATCCAATTCAGCAATCTATCACTAGATTTTCAACATATCAATGCAAAACTCAAAATCAAGTGATGGAAGATTGGGAAAACTTTCAAAATGTTCAAAAATTTTTAAAAATTTTGGCAAGTTAAGTAGAGAAACCACCCACAACGAGGAGTAACCTAACAAAACAAATTCCAACAACCCATTTAAGCTCAATTAAAAATCCTTCCTCCCCCACACAACTCAATGCAATGTCCTCATTGCAATACACAGTCACATACCAAAACACAAAGCTCAAAAACAAAAACAACGAAGGTGGAAGTTGTGAAGTCTAATTCAAGATTGAAGCACAATAAATCATTCTTCTACGAAGAAAAAAAGTGCTGACATGCAAGAATGGGTAAACTAAAGGATGCAATTGAGTGTATGTTAGTGACAGAGATAGAACTATAATTAAATCAAAACAAAACACATAAGGGGATTTATTCAAAACAAAGATAAACAATTGAAATTTAAATTGTTGTTTCCACTGGGTACATCCCTTTCACAACTCAAAATAGTCACATGCAAGATAATATTATGAAAAGTAAAGGACATGTGTAAAGTAAAAGAGAATGGAAATGGACGACTTGGCCTCATGAAGGCTGTATGGACTCTTCATTAAGCTTGAGAAGATGGCTATTATATTGGAACAACTTGCCCATGGCCTCCACTTTCAACTCTATCAGCCCAAAATCATACACTTTTACCACAGTATACAGTCCATCCTAGCTTGTCTTGAATTTTCCCTTTTTGCATTTGAACCGGGCTTGGTACCTTAGCACTTTATCTCCCTTCTTAAATTGCTTCCTCAAGATGTTGGCATCATGAATGAGCTTGGTCTTTTGCTTGTAGATGTCAGAGCTATTATAAGCATCCAACCTCATCTCTTCTAACTCTTGAATCTGAAGAAGTCTGTTCAGACTAGCTTCCTCAAAATCAGCATTGTAGCTCTTGACCCCAATACATCCTATACTCCAATTCCACGAGTATATGACATGACTTCCTATAGATAATCCGGTATGGAGACATCCCAACAGGCATTTTGTAGGTAGTACGATAGGCCCATAGTACATTAACCAACCTCAAACTCCAGTCTTTGTTGGATGGCTTGACAATACGCTTCAGAATGCGCTTGATCTCTCTATTCGACACCTCAACTAGGTCATTGGTTTGGGGATGGTATGGGGTGGACACTCCATGGGAAACCCTATATTTAGCTAACAAGTTAGTAAGTAGCTTGTTGTAGAAATGGGTTCCCTGATCACTGATCAACACCTTGGGTACACCAAATCTACTGAAGATATTAGACCTCAGAAACTTGAAAACCATAGGTGCATCATCTTTTCTTGTTGCAATTGCTTCTACCTACCTAGAAAGATAGTCTACAGCTAATAGGATATAAGTGTAACTATGAGAAGGTGGGAATTATCACACCTTACTTCTAAGATACCTTAGAGTTCATTTGGAACCATTTCTGACCACATTGGATGTCTTAAGCTCAAAATTTACATTCTGGACATTACTTTTTGTAAAATCCCAACTTTAATTTCGATGCTTCCAATGCTTATTCTTAAGGTTTACCCTACACCATTTTCCATTTTAAGCACAATGAAAGCATCAAAACTATGAAAATCTCATCATAAGGTACAAATCTTAACTTGGCTGAATAGTACCCTTCAAGAAACAACCATGAAATATTTTAAATAACAACTAAAAACCATTTGAAACAACTTTGAATCAATGGGTTTTAACTAGATATAACATGAAAACTTCCTTCCCCTAACCCTATACATTTTGGCCAGCAACATTAAAGAGGGAAGAATGGATTTTTCTACCATTAAACTAAAGGAAACAAAGCAAGAAATAATATAGATCAACTTACTAACCTTAGATCTAAACTCGGTTGATCAAAGGTTGTAGCTTCCTCTTGATTATGCTTCAAGAATCCAAGTGGCAAGAGTTTCCCCTCTTGTTCTCCATCTTGGCCAAAATAAAGGGGTAGGGAGTGTCTATTTATAGAAAAAACTTTGGCTTGAATGAACCGAAATGTCCTTGGTAGCTAATAGAAAGAGTAAGGGCAAATTTAGAAGTTCAAGTGAACTTTTGCATCATCATTGCATCACTTTCTTGCATCCTTCCATTATCCTTCTAGAAGGTGCCAAGTGTCACAAATTTGGGGGAGGAGAAGGGAGATTGAATCCTAGCCATTGGATCATAATTTAATCCTTAAGTTTCCCTCTAATTTACTCAGCCCACGTTTCTCTGGCTTTCTTGACAGCATTCTAGAGCTCAGAAAATTCTTCTATCTACTCCATAAATTTTCTTTTATTCTAGAGAATATCTACAAAATTTCTCAGTCTATAACACTTCCTTTAAGCCATGCATAAAAATCATTTACTAAAATGTCTTTTTATCAGGATAATCAACTTTTTAATTTATTAAAGTCATTTCATTGGCCTTTTAGTTGTGAGACTAATTTTATGAATTAGTATAACCTTTCAACCATTTAACCTCATTTTTGCATACATTTTTGAGATCTCTTGCTATTTTAAATAATTACTTCAAACAGTATACTTTTTACCGGCCATAATGTTATAAATTCCATTTAAGCTGCCTCGGGGGTATTTTTGTCAATTCTCTTCAAAAAAAGAGTCTTAGAATATTATTTCCTATTTTTTGGGGTTTTCTTAAAATTTTCTGTATACCTTTTATTTTTACCCCTGTTGGCCATAACTTTCTGAATTTACAGTTTAGTCCCTGCTTGGACTTAACTTCATATAGCTATCTCTTTAAGGTTTCTAACTTAACTCTTAGCCTGTTTCTACTCTTTTTTTCTCTTTCTGGGCCCTTGAGACTTTATTGGAGCCTCTGGCCTTGATTATACTTGAGCCCCTGAAAACTTTTACTTTTCAGTTTAGTCCCTAAAACTGCTTTGACTTCCTTTTTCATCTTTGGGACTTCTGCTCAAAAAGGGCTTAGTAGCCTATCTTCTTTAGGCTATTTTTAGGGCTCTTAGGCCTAAAAATTGAGATATGATCGGAATGGTCCTGTGAAGTCTATCTCCCAAGTATCAAAAATCTCACATAAAAGGATGGGTTGCTGTGGCATTTCATTTCTCCTATTCACCCCCCCCAAATCTTTGGCATCCATTACATACCTTATAATAGGTGAAAGCATTTCTAAATAGGGTGGGCTAATAAAAACCAGCATCCAACACTTTCCTAGCCATCTTCTTAGTACTGAAGTATACCCCATACAGTGTGTTATGGCAAGCTTCTAATATAGCATGAGCCTCAGCTTCAGGAATGCACCTTCTGATTACTTGGTCAAAGCATATTTTCCATGAATGTGGTGGATCCCAAATGTAGTAGGAGGCTTCACTCTTTATCTTCTGAATCAGAAAAGGAGTCAAATGAGAAGGGATTAGGCCTGTGGCAAGATAATTCACTAAATGAGCAAACCATGGCTAAGAAATAGACAAAGCACATAAAGATTGATCAAGGAACGAATCACAAACAGCTTCAGAATCTAATACTCCCCTAGTCTCTAGTGGTAATCTACTCAAGTAATCTGCAACATGGTTCACATTGGCAGCTCTATCTTTCACTTCTACATCAAACTCTTGGAGTAGCAACATCCACCTCAAAAGCCTTCACTTTGATTGAGGTTTATGGAAAAGATACTTTATTGCTGCATGATCTGTGTACACAACCACTTTGAAATTTATGAGGTAAGGTCTAAATTTATCAAGTGCAAAGAGAATAGCAAATAATTCCTTTTAGTAGTGGTGTAATTTCTTTGAGCTGCATCAAAGATTTTAAAAGCATAGGCAATTACTTTAGAAGCAGAACCATCCCTTTGACCCAACATTGCCCCCACACTTAAATTTGAAGCATCAAATGAAATTTTAAAAGGCAATTTCCAATTGGGAGAGGTCAAAATGGGAGGAGTAACTAGCATATTCCTGAATTCATTAAAAGCTAACTCACATTTATGATTAAATTGAAAATCAACATCCTTTTGAAACAGTTTAGATAGAGGTAGAGTAATTTTACTGAAGTCTTTGATGAATCTTCTATAAAATCCTACATATCCTAAAAAAGATCTCAACTCTTTCAAGTTGATAGGATAGGACAACAAAGAAATCACCTCAATTTTAGTTTTATCTACCTCTATTCCTTTATCAGAAATCAAGTGACTTAGCACAATGCCATGATTAACCATAAAATGGCATTTTTCATAATTTAAAACAAGCTTTTTCTCAATACGTCATGCTAGAATTTTGCCAAGAACTTGTAAACACTCATAAAAAGAATTGCCATAAACAGTGAAATCATCCATGAACACATCCATGCATTTCTCAATAAACTTAGCAAAAATAGATAACATGCAACGTTGTAATGTGCCAAGTGCATTGTAAAGACCAAAAGGCATTCTTTTATAGGCATAAGTTCCAAATGGACAAGTGAAAGTAGGCTTATCTTAATCTCTAGGGTCTATAGAGATTTGGAAATACCTAGAGTACCCATTTAGGAAATAGTAGTGACTCTTCCCTGCTCTCTACAGAAAGAAATGGACATTACTCTCAGATTCAGTACAGCCTACCATTTGCAAATATATGGATAAATAAAGAGAATAATTCAAATGTTAAAGGATATGTTACAAGCACGTGTGCTTGATTTTTGTGGAAACTGGGATAGATACTTGCCTTTAGCTGAATTCACTTATAATAACCATTTTCATTCATGTATTCGAATGGCTTTGTACAAAGTGCTCTATGGGAGGAAGTGTAGATCTCCCTTATACTGGATGGAACTTAGTGAAAGAAGGAAGTATGGTCCTAACTTAGTGGATCAGACCTCTTAGTAGATTAAGGCTATCTAGCAAAGACTCCTAACAGCTTAAAGTAGACAAAAGAGCTATGAGACATTAGAAGGAGATTGTTAGAGTTTGATGTTAGGGATCATCTATTCCTTAAAGTGTCTCCAACTATAGGAGTCAGTCGATCCCTAAAGACTAAGAAATTGAATCCGAAGTATGTTGAACCATTCCAGATTCTTTCCAAAGCTAGACCAGTAGCTTACAAATTGGGCCTTCTCCTGAATTTAAGCCAAATCCATGATGTCTTCTATGTCTCCCAACTGAAGAAGCACCACCTAAACCCGGCTCATGTCAAAGTTGAACCAGAGCGAATCATTGATAAGAATGTCAAGCAACTAAGGAACAAGCAGATTCTGTTGGTCAAGGTTGTCTGGAAAGGTCTTTCACCAGAAGAAGCAACATGGGAAATGGAAGCTGAAATAAAGGAAAATTATCCCAAACATTTCCCATAAAGTACGTTTTAAATTTCAAGGATGAAATTTATTTAGGGGGAGAAATGTCACATCTAGTAATTTGGTAAATAGAAGTAAGAATATTTCTAGAAATTTAAGGGCCAGAATAATAGGAAGAAATGAGAAGACACAACTCTTAAAGTTATGTTAGTGTCAGGGTAAAAATATAATTTCCAAAACTTATAGGTAGGTCTATGTAATTTTAAAAAATATGTTAGAAATCCCCAAGAATTATGGGATAATTATGGAAAGGGAAAAACCCCTGGAGAGTGTAGTAGTCTCAAAAAGTTAGAATTTTGATGGGAAATAATTATTATGAATTTCTACTTAATTTTAAAAATTTGGCTAGTTAAGGAAAACTGGTCAAAAATTAATTATGAAAAATATTTTTGAGGGTTAGAAAATTGAGAAAAAATAGGGATAATGTACCTTGCAAATTATATGAAGTGTATAAGTGGTTTTATTCTGAAATTACCCCTAGGGAATTTAAGGTCTATTTAAGCCAAACTGAGACTTCTATTTGAAAATTTTCAAATAAATACTTTTAAGGATAATTAAATTCTAAGAAAATTCATAAGGTATTCCTAGGAATTATAAAAGATTATGAAGTAGAAAGGAGCCCGTTAAATGTTCAGAGATTTCTTAATTGTCTTCCCGAGTAAAGAAATCACTGTGAAAAGAAAAATAGTTTTCTTCTTTACTATTGATAAAAAATTACGATGGGAACAAAGGAGAGCATTTTGGGAAGAAAAAAATAATAAGAATGTATTATGGATCTGACAGAAAATAATTACAGTAGCCAGGATACTGTAATTATAGAATAGAAATTGTTTTCAGAGCAAAGTGTACTAATAAAGTAAAAAGCACTCTCTTGTCTTTTACTTGGCTCATAATGTGTTACTTGTCAAGCTATGAAGTGGAGAAGATTAAGATGCCATTTGTCAAGCCAAGTATGGAGAGGATTTTGACTTTAGAAAATCCATTTCAATTAAAATTATTTTAAGAAGGGAAATTAGTACAAGATGGTTTAGGGTGTTGACACATCATCATTGAAATTAGTTTAACCTTGGATAGCAAATGCTTGAGGCTTGGCTTATAACTAGCCATCTACCCCTCTCACAAGACACCAATTTTGGCCAACCTAAGGGAGGTTCTTGCAATTTGTTTTCTTGAAGTGCAATCAAGAGAAAACCACCTGCTTTGATCATATAAGCTTGGATATAAGGTTAGTAAGATGTTCTTTCTTGTATATTGTTTTGTATTCTTAGATTGGATGGTTGAAAAATGTTGTTGGTGCTGGTCAAATTGTGTTAGGGTTAGGGGAGGAAGACTTTGATGTTTAACCTAGTTGAAACACATTGGTTATACCTTGTTTCAAGTGATGTTGTGTTGAAATTTGAAAAAGATTATATGATATGGATGTTGCGTGTACTATTCAGCCAACTCTGAATCTTTACCCTGGGATGTGATTTTCTGAGTTTTGATGCTTCTATTGGGTTTAAAATGGAAAATGGTGTAAGGTGAACTTAAAGAACAAGCTTTAGAAGCATTAAAATTAAAGTTGGAACTTTAGGGTTTCTAGGTCACCCTATTTGGCCAACACTATTTGGGAAGAGAGGAGTTTTCTTTTCATGAAACTTAGCATATTTGGATTCTACATGAAAAATTATGTATGATTTGTAACATCCTAAGTTTGATCGGGTTTTAATAGCCTCTTTTGGGTTGATTTTGAGGATAGATTAGCAATTTAATCTTGATTTGGGTGTTTGGGTTGGATTTGAGGTTGTTGGAGGTATAGGTGAACGTACCCCTCTCAGGGTATGTTCGCCGCGGCGAAGTTTACTTCGCCGCGGCGAACCGGGAGTTCCTAGTAGGCTATGTCTTTCGGGCAGGTTTGGCCGCGGCGAAGTCTTGGGGACGCCGCGGCGAAGTTGTTCAGGTGAGCGAGGCTTCCCTCTCGGGAAGGTTTCGCCGCGGCGAAGGTAGGGTATGCCGCGGCGAAGGTTGTCTGGGCGAGCGAGAGTTTCCTCTCGGGAAGCTTTCGCCGCGGCAAAGATTGGAGTTCGCCGTGGCGAAGTCGGTTTTTTCAGGCGAGTAATCCCTCTCGGGATTAGTTCGCCGCGGCGAATATGGAGTTCGCCGCGGCGAAAGGTCGCGATTCTATATAATCGCTGGAGGGTTCAGATGTGCGAAAATTGGAAAATCTGAAGGAGGAGAGAGAAGCTCTGCTAGGGTTTCGTGGAGGAGGCTTGAGAAAGGCATTTCTAAGGATCCATTACCTCAAGTAAGTGATTTTAACCTCTAATCTTCTTTCTTTCTTGGAATTTCTTGGAAATTTCTGAGGATTTTTGGTGAAACCCTAGATTTTCTAAGTTGTGATTGAACTGAGGTTTTTGACCGATTGTTTTGGGTTTAATTGATTGCATTGGGTTAGTTTAAGTATTTAATCGGTGTAGTTTCCTTGGATTTAAAGGATCTTGAATTTTGGAGTTAGGGTTTATGGAATTGGATGATTTGGGATTGAGGATGATAATGTAGAGATTGATTTTGAGTTTTGTGAATTGGGTTATGTTAAGGAGGGTTAAATTGGATGTTTAATCGGTTTAGATTTGTTGTTGGAACCTTAATTGTTCAAATGGGTTGTTGGAGGTTGAATTCCTATAGTGGGCCCTTGAGGTTTGAACTATAATTGATGCTTGGAAGGAGACTTGATGTTTTAATAGACTTTGAGGACTTTGGAGTGTTGTTTTGATAGTTATACCCTTTGAGTTGGGTAGAGTTTTGATGGGAGATAGGAATTTTGTGTCCCCAAGTGTTGTTTTGGCCACATTATTAGTTTGAAGGCTAATATATATTGGTTGTATGTTTGTGTGCTTGTGTAGACCGGTTGTGAGTCTTGGTGGTGCACGGGGCCACATTGTTGATTGTTATTCCTTGCTCAGGCGAGAGGTAACCACTTTCCAATCCTTAGTACTTGCTTCTGTGGTATTGTGAGTAGATTTGTGTTTTGTGCTCCAAATAGTAATTGTGTTCGAACTATATGTTGTATATAAAAATGGAAAACCGTCTTGTGGGGTTTGGATTTATGATGAATGAATTTGTGGAATAGTGAAAGATATGCCACTGAATGAGGTTAATTGTGAAATGATTATTTCTCTTGATTATGATTTGAGCATGATGCATTAATTGGGAAATTGGTGAGAGTTTTGTCTGTTACTACCACGTGGTAAGGCCTCCATTAATGCATGATGGTTGGCTCTTTACGTCCCCCATAGAGAGGGATAGGCCTTCGGGCTCATTACGTCCCCCAGAGTGAGGGATAGGCCTTTATGGCTCCTTACGTCCCCCACAGTGAGGGATAGGCCGGGTTCGGCTCCTGAAAATCCCCCAAAGTGAGGGATTTGGTTGATGGGATTGCATCATTTCACTTGCATAAATTGTTGTGGCTATCATTATGTATTATTTGTGAACTGCCCCACTTGACACATCACGAGCACCTATTTAGTAGTACCTAGTATTGGAAAGGTTGGTTACTGGGACTTTGTCTCACCCCGTGGTTTACAATGTTTTCAGGAGAAGGTTCTAGGCGAGCACCTTCGGGAAGAGACGCAGAGGCTTGAGCTGGGTTAGCTTTAGGCCTCTAGCATTTGTATATGTATGAGTAGTAGTTATATTGCCACATTTAGGACCGCTTTTTGGTATCTTTGATTTCCCGGCCTTGTTGTAAACTGAATAGAATGTATCTCCTTATTTTGGTTGGCCGGAGGCCATTGCTATTGCTTTATGGAATATGTTTTACAGGGTTGGAAACCTTTTGGATGGGCTAATTTTGTTGTCTCTTGTTACCCGAGCCGAAGGCTCGGAGGCCCAGTGATTGTGATTGATTGATGATAGTTGCATGCAACTGCATTTGAGGTGGAACCAAGTTTTAAATGTTAATTTTCTAAAATTACGCAATTTCTTTCTACTATGGTAGTTGTTGTACATCTTTCCTTTTTCTACCATAGTAGTGGTCTTATAAAAAGTATTGATGTTTAAGGAAGAGGGTCTTTACATGATTGACCTAAGAGGATAATTTTTAGGCTAAAGAAAATAAAGCTCCAAAATTCAAAGAATTAAGGGTTAAGGGTTACTTAAGTTTTGTCATTAAGTCTTGTGTGGTTTAAGTTGTAATGTGGTTGCCCCTTTTGTAATGTGATGTTTAGGATTTGATATTTGTGGAATGAAAGAGTAAGAACAAAGACTAAGAAAGCAATTGGATCAAGGTTGCAAGATTTAATTAACTTTAATGTTGATATTGCATTAATTGTTGATGCATGGATGATTGCTATTATGTGGTCGAGCTATGATGGATGTTTATGTAGCTGCTCCTTACATTGAAATGCCTTGGCTATTGCATGTTAGAGATTGCCTAATTATGAGGAAGAGTTAGTTCCCTAATGATAGCAAATGTTGAAATGCTTGATGATAGTGCATGTTTGATGTTATGGTTGATTTTATCTTACTATTGGGATTTCAATGATATCTCATTCCTTCCAAATGCAATTAATTCTTTTAGGGGCTGAACCATCCAGGAAGAAAAAAAAATTATTGAAAGAATGATGTATAATTATGAAACTCCTTGACTTTTGACAATGTAATTAAACCTATGCATGGATGTTGTAACCCTTTTAAGCTGATATCTTGGAGCTATAATTTGACTATGTTACTAGACATATTAAATCATGAAATTTGGTATAATTATAGTTCATGTCTTAAGCTTTAAATCAATAGGTAGAACGTCTAATTTGGATATATGTGCGATTTATGACCATTTATGTTGCTGGTATTGTTTCACACCGAATTGGTTCCTAAGATTTTTTTCCCCTTGAAAGAGCATTCACGTTTTCAGTAGGACTTAGAATTACTCCATTTTGATTTTTCTAGAATTAATTATGAATTTTTAAAATTGGACAGAAATTTTAGAATTACCAAGTGAACAGTGAGTCCATAAAGTAACG